CCCCTCTTCCACAACCAAACCAGCAACCCCCCCTCCCCGCTCTTACCTGTGAACAAGTGCTCCTTTCCCTCAGCGGGTGCCGGTGAACATCCCATACACCGTACAAACAGAGCAGCCCTGTGCGATGTATTTCAGGTTACGCTCGTAAATGGCGAGCACTCAGTCATCAGCGTGGTCACCTGAGAACGCTGACTAATGAGAAGCGCTTCTCATTGGTCAATACTCACCGATACCGGTACTTCCGGGCAATCAGGAAGCTGGGATGCGTCAATATATATATATATATACATACACATACACAGCACTAAACCAATAAATACATACCTGTTAAAAAAAATATATGCACAGCACTATATTGACACCTTCAATATAAGAACAATATGACCCATAAAAACAATTAGCATATTAGCATGTTGTCATACCTTTACTCGTTGACGCAGCTCCATATCTAGACATGCCAACCTATAGAGGAAGAACACCATTAACTATAGTGTATGAAAAAAAGCTAAAAATGCATGAGGGAAATGTGATGAATGTAGTCTAGTCTGTGAAACCTCAATGAAGGCAACAAGTTATTTTTCACAGTAAAGGCCCTTTCACACGCGTGTCAAAACCAGGCAGAGAAGAAATGTTTTTAAAGCCTCTCTGCTGCCTATTAACAGCCATGTGGGATAAAACAATAGCAACCGCCCCGTACAATTCACACATGGGCATTAGCGTTGCATCAAAAAATATAGAGTGCATGCCACATTTTGGAGGCATTGCCGTTGAAATAATGCCTCCATTGAACTATATTTAACCGCCACCTAAACGCTTGGTCAATGCGCCCTAGAGCAGTTTTTAGGCATTTAAGAAGGGTTGCACAGGTGTTCAGATTGTATGACCCAAGTGTGCCCAGGTACTGCGACACCTGCTGGCCACTTCCCTTTACTATATCACTTTACCCTTAAAACACACTCCCCTACTTGCAGGGCATTTTGCAAGCATTTTTGACACCTCCCTAACGCCTTGAAAATGCCGGCCAAATGCTTTGTTAACCTATAAGTGTGTTTATCAGCATTGCTCTGTCATTAAATTCTCAACGCACATGTGAAAGAGCCCTAAGTTCAAATTGTTAGCGTGAATTTTCTTACATGCGTCAATAACACAAATAAACGTTGATTGGATGCTGTGGATAATACCTCTAACAATTGTTAGGGTCATATAAAAAGACAATACAAAGAGCAAAGGCAACATACAAACTGCAGTATGCAAAACAAACCAATCTGTTCTGCAACAAACAGAATAGTAAAATAAATCAATTGTGGTTGATCTGAAACGAGCTTCATCATTTTTTTAACTTGTTTTTATATATCCAACAACTTGGGTGAGGCTGGAGAAGCTTTCAGGCATATAGGTTCTTTTTTTGGGGGTGGGGGTGGGGGGTTAATAGCGTTACGATCAACACAGATTTGGGATTTGATCTTCCATTTTCATCAGAAAAAGCAAATACTGCCAATTTATTCACAATGAGGGCCCATTCACAGCAGACGTGTTGGGGCTGTGCTGGAGAATTGCTTTAAGTGCAGCCCCAACGCAAGACAAGGCAATTTGCCTGGTCACAGATGGGCACCATTCATTGAAAAAAAGAATAAGTACAGCATGCCTTACTTTTTTCAACGCAGTGGGATGCGATGCACAACAACCACCTAGCACACAGCTGTGCCTGTAGAACTGAGTGAAATGTCACTTGTGACATTTCAATAAAGTTCTAAAAATAAAAACAAAAGTAGACAGAGCAATGTGATGGTATCGGCACATTGGCACTGTGCGAGGCACCACCCACCAGTGTGGTCCCTTGCAACTATACAACTGTAAACATATCTACATTTTATGAAGGGGTTACAATAGGAAGGGAGTATTTGGGAACAATAAGGAGGCAGATGAATACTATAAAGAAACCCAGTAACCTAATACAGTCATGATATTTTCAAACACAAAGCTAAACTAGTAATTTAACTAAAACAATGACTCTGCTAAACTAAACATAGAACATATCAGTTTTATTAAAAAGGGATACCAAGGTCTATTTTGTTATTTCAATTAATGTTTATACCTGATTACTTGGGTCCAAACCAGAATAGGAATTGCGTGAACTGCATCCAACAGGAGGAGTGGCTTCTCTTACAAACTCTGCCATCTCAATCCCTCCCCCAGGATCACTACCAGAAAGAAGAAACAATTAATTACAATACAAGAAATAAAAAAGGAGAGACATGATAAAAAGTGTTCATTTTGTAATTTTTGGATAGAATAGGGAAGGGGTAAAACCAAATCGGAGCCAAAAAGCCTCATTATTTTTGCAGGCACAGATGGCAGTGGGAAAATCTCCAGTATGGGAGACGGGAAACATTGAAAAACCTGACAATGGTTCTAACCCAGCCCCACTTCATCCACAAGAAGATTTGATTTAAAAAAAAAAAAAAAGGCGGTAGTTCTTTACAAACATCATTGATACTTGTATCTCTTTACTAAAAAGTGTGTGCACTAAATGCAAAGAAACACTAAAACAATAAAATAAAAAAATCACAATGAAAGACAGCAAGCCAAAATAAAAAAAAAATTGTCATGGTTATCTGGTTAGACTTTAACGGCATCCTTCTTACCCCGGTCCATTGCTTTCCTCTCGTCTGGCTGAACTGTCACTGTGTTCTGCCTTTGCCACCCTCTCAGTCAACTCACTGGCACTCCTCTCCACAATTTCTCCTTCGTCCAGAGCCCTGTGTAGTCGGTAGTTCACCAGCTTTAAAACAATGAAAACGGCTGCTACAACTGGGCAGTACACAGCAACTATCACCAGAGAGGTGGGAAGAGCCTGAGAGGAAGAAGAGTAAAAAAAACATCATGTTAAAAGTAACCAAAAACCTCACAAGATAAAGCAAAGTCTTCAGAAAAAAAACAAAATTCAGAAAGGACTATTTATATTTCATCAATATCAAATTTCGGCAAATACAACCCAAAAGGTTCATTTATGGGCTGAATGGGAGATATTCAATTGATTCCCCCATCCACGCCAAATAGTCCAGGTGGAGGAATCTCCTACCGGCTATTGTGTACATCGGTTCTGACACCACCAAACAGTGACTTATTCTGAAAGGATCTGAGAAACAACCCATGGTTAGAATTTGCTGCTAAATAAGCCAAATTTTGAGCCATATGCTGGACCACCAATACAGCAGTCATCAACCTAAACAGTAATCCTGCATATACTTAATGAACCAAGGCTTGTCCGCCTTGGACAGCCCAAAACCAATAGGACAGGTTGTGGGCCACCCACAGCTCAAATTCCTTGCTGAATCAGCCAACATTTGAGCAATCCAAGGCCAGCTTTAGAGCCATGTCCTGGACTAAGTTCAGCTAGAAAACTGCTAATCTAGCAGTGTCGCCACCGCCCCCCACCCACCCCCCCCCCCTCACAAAGAGGAAGATTGATCATTTCAAGCCCACATGTCCAACCACTGTCTGGTATCTATGGATCTTTACCAAGGGAAAGCATAGATACATCTACAAATACAGTAAAAAAAAACTTTATGGCCAAGAACTGATCCATGACTGTGTTCCTTGAAAAACTACAACAGTGTTTTACAGATGACAGAGCTATACACTGCTTCTAATTAAGAGGTTCTGCCGTTGGCAAAAAGATGGAAACATTACATTAACCAGCATGAAATATTATACTGCTGTCCACAGAAACAGAATTACACGCAGTGAAATGAATCAACGGGAAAGAACATTTCATATGCCAGGAACAATGTATACTATGTAAAAAAAGAAAAAAAATTAAGGACTCGGAAAACCTGAGGGCATATACATTTTTTTTTAATATATTACACCATATTAAAAAACACCAGTTCTGTTCAGAAGAGGCTTATACCCAAGTGTGTAAACTCTGGTTGTTTTACAAAGATATAACTAAGGCTCCATTCACACCTATATTTTAGGTGCGATTAGGGATTCCTGCTTCACAGAATTTGCCGCTCTGGCAGCGAAAGGGTTAAAGGAGAACTATGGCGTGAGTGAAGTACACTCATCCCCATAATTAGAGCCGATGTGTGACATTGAAACTGTCACAGATCGGCTCTATTGATCAGGGAGTGAAAACATACCGCCGTTCCCTCACTTCCCATCATATCCCTGCAGAGAGCAGTGACTGTCAGTCACCGCCCCCCGCAGGGATCCCCCCCTCATCTCTCCGATCCTCCAACGCTGACTGGAGGGAGGGACGGACAGGAGAGGGGGCATGTGTAGCTGGCTCTGTCTGCAGATTGACAGCGGACTCTGCCTATCAGCCAGCTGGGTGAATCTCTACAGTACTGTCGGGATCCGTCCCGGCTGCAGCGCTTTCAGCGTATAGCAGGCAATAGCCCGCTATATGTTGAGTTTTGGGTCACGGGTTGGATGCCACGGGAGGTCCTGCTGTGATCTAAAAGAGTACTATGGGCAAAAAAGGTTACCCCATAGTTCTCCTTTAAACTGTATATTAAATAGACCAAAAAGGGAGCAATTGAGTATGTATTCAACCCCTAATAACAAACTTCTAACATTTTATGTCAGGCTTTAACCTCACTGAGGAGATCTGTGCTTACTATTTATTTTTGTGACACCTAAACAAGAAATAGGAGTGTGCTCGACATTAGGACAAAAAACAAATACAGAACAGTGCCAGAAAACGTTTGCCCCTGTTGGGAAACATTTTTATTACTTTCTGTCCTAAAATGAAGGACATTTCCCATTTCCCATTAAGGTACACAGGTAACAATAAAAACTAGACAAGAGACCTTTCCCTGCTTGATCAAATACATAATAAAAAGGTTTAAGCTGGAGTTGGGCTTTAAATAAAACAATCAATGAACAAAAGGCAGGACAAAGAGTGCTGGCCCAAAGTTTAAAAGTTGTAAACGGCTCCGTTGATGTGCATTATAATAAGAGTGCATGTGTGTGTGTATATAAACACACACACATAGATGCATATATATATTATGCACACACATATGTACAGTATATATAGTGAAGTCCCCCCATGAACTTTCATAATTCAAGTTTCTGTATTGAAAATGGTCACCATTTACCTAGACTGCCATACCCAGTTCTCTAGTATTTGCAGTGTCATAATGCATTTGTAACAAACGGCAGACGTGATGACAGATCAAGATTTTCCACTTCCCTTTGTTCATTCATTCCTTTCATAGTAAAATGCATGAAATTCTCCACCTGCACGGAGGAAGAAAAGGCATGTGGGGGCGAACCTGCCAGCTCACACAAACCACAGACCTCCCTGCAAAAAAAACTGCAAAGGCAATGTATCCAAACCCCGAACAACCAGAGCGGATAGTATCCCCCAGCACAAGGAAACCACTGCAAATTAAGCTTATACTTTCACAAGTTATTGTGCAAAACCGCACATTCATTTCTAAGAACTGCTTACTTGAATGCTGTTCTGGTTAGTTCACTGCATTTGGTTAAAGACTGACTCATTTCCTTTCCAGGCCAAAAAAAAAAAAAAAGCCCAGTAACCGTAGCATATTCTGGAGCTAAATCATTATTCATCCTCTAAAAATGGACTGATTTTAATCATTGCGTACACTCTCCACCCAATAAAAAAAAAAGTATGATGAATACTCAGGCTGCAAGAATGACAATAAAACTGCTTTCCCCAATACTGAGAAGAGTACGTAATTGCGAGTGATGAACTATATACGTGACTTTATTCTCTGCTATTAAGTGATTCAAACTCTTGCTGGCAATTACCACATTTTCCAGCAAATAATGCAACTGCAAACATGAGACTGCAATTAAACCTGCCCATTTAGTAATATATAGTTATATAATAGCAAGTAGGGCTGCAGCGAATGATTATTTTCAAAATCAATTAGTTAGCCGATTATTAAGTTCGATTAATCGGTTAATTGGATTTTTTTTTAAATGGCTCCAGTGATGGACTACTAGTTTGTATTGAGATTGTAGTCCATGACAGGAGCAAGCTTAGAGTGGTGGAAGTTTAAAAAAAAAAAAAAAAATTGTGGGTGTGCAATATAGTGAAATGGAAAGTGTAATATTATACAGCAATCAATGTAGAATGCCACCGGCTATAGAGGACTACAAATCCAAGCAACAATACATTATAGCTGGTGGTATTCTGCATTGCACTGCATAATGCATTTGCTGGGATGTTGTATTCCTCTATAGCTACTCGTATTCTGCGTGCATTGCGCCGCTGTATAATGTATTATTGCGGGCTTGGATTTGTTGTATCCCTCTATAGCAGGTGGTAAATTATTGCGCTGTATGATTATACAGCGCAATGCAGAATACCACCAGCTATAGAGGAATACAACAAATCCCAGCCAGCAATAATACATTATACAGCAGCGTGGGGGGGGGGCTGTAGGAGAAGCAGGCACACTTACTTTTAGATGCAAGATCGTAGGCCTGTCGGGTGCTGTTCCCCCTCGATCGTTGGCGGGCAGCGGTGAGTCAGGGAGCTCAGAGCGGGGAGGAGAAGAGGCGTGTCCTGCGGCGTGCGGCTCGGGTCATGTGTGGAGCCGCAAGCAGGGTAACTAAATCGATAGCCGACTAATCGATGATGGAAACCGTTGACAACGTTTTAAATTGTTGATTTTAATCGACTACATCGATTAGTTGTTGCAGCTCTAATAGCAAGCTATGTTCTTGGAGTTGTTAGAGACTTTCCTTGCCAGCAGGCTCAATGCCTCACTACTCTATGCAGAAAAGAATGGATAGAAATACAGCACATGCATCACCAGAACAATTGGGCAAAGTCCATGGCAGGTCCCAGTGGCTTGCACAAGAAATTGCGAAAGATCTGCCCATCTAGAAGCCCAATGACAGCTTTTCCAGACAATATTTTTTTTACTAACAGTCACTTCTAAAATAAATTCCACAATGAGCTATTATTTTTATCTGCTATGCTGTATATGTGTGGAAGTTCATGGGAAATAGTATCATCTGCTAAACAAAGCAGTCACTTTTTGCACAGGAGTTTTGGGTGCACAGAATTTGATTATTTGAAATCAAACACCAGCATCATCATCTGCGTTTGAGGTGCCATTAGAAATGAATGGTGTTGCAAGCGTGTCGTACATTTTGCCACGTTTCCATGAGCATGTGCCAAATGCACACAAAAACGCAAGCTTTGGCGCACAATCACAGAACCCGCAGGTGTGATTGGGGGCTTAGAGAGCAAAAAGTACTACATCTGTCTATATCTCTATATGTCCATAGGAAATCTCCATATTTCTTCCTCAGGTCCTTCAGAGAAGCAAATTTACCATCAGAAGTTACAGCAGTATGAATCCCCATCTTCAGCCCATGACTTAAAGGTGTTCGCCCACCCCATGGATCCTGTCTGCGTCCAAGTCCGGACACCTGCACAAATGTGCAGCATTGGTGAGCATACGGCTGCGTACTACCATAGAGAAGAACAGGCTGCTGCGTACAATCACACGCAGCACCCTTCCTTCCCGGGAGCGGCCTGATATGGCCGTGCACACTACACGGATCTCTATGGGCCGGCTCTTAATGTGAATGAGGCCTTAGAGTAAACGATACATTTTCAGTGGGAAAACTGGACCTTGTCGCGCAAAACACACATTTCCATGCAAGTCAACTGCAACTATGCAACAGCTATTTTTAGATGGATGCCATGCAGTTTTGGTCCCACAGACATCTCTATGCAGGGAAAACCACGTGTCTTCAACAGCAAAAACGTGCGCAAAAAATAAAACCCTGCACAACTGGAAACACCTAGGTGTGCGCCTAATGCATCCATATTCCCTCAATGGCAGTTTCAAGCTC